CAAAAAAAAAAAAAAAAAAAACCAGAAAGTGGTAAAGTAACATTTTTGAGAGGCTGCTATATACCAAACCCTGTACTAGGTGTTTTATGTACATGACTGCATTTGATGGAATAAAGGGCTGAAACTGAGCTACATATCATGTATAACAAATAATTGAGATGGACTTGAGTCAGTCATGGAAAGAGAGGAGGGTTTAGATGACAGAAACAGGAAAGGCTGGGCAAGGTGAAAAGCATGCACAAGAGCTCAGAGGCAAAAAGATATACAGTGTTCAAAGGTAAATAAGAAAACTGCAACAGAGGGATCATGCAGAGAAGTTGAGGAGAAATAGAGACCTTGACTACAGATTTTGGACTTTCTTCTCAAAGAACTGAGGAGCCATTGGAGGATTTGAATAGGGAATGACATGCAAAGCACTGGTCTGGGAAAATCAATCCGTTATCAGTGAGAAGAGATTAGAGGTAAGAATGACTATTGCTGTAGTAAAAGTCTGGACCAGAGTGGTGGCAATGGAATGAATAGGAAGAAATTAATTTTTTTTTGAGTTGGAGTCTCACTCTGTTGCCCGGGCTGGAGTGCAGTGGCACGCTCATGGCCACCGGCAGCCTCTACCTGCCGGCTTCAGGCGATCCTTCTGCCTCAGCCTTCCAAGTAGCTGTAACTACTGGCTCACGCCACCACGACTAGCTAATTTTTTTTTAATGATTTATCATAGAGACAGGGACTTGCCAAGTTGCCCAGGCTGATCTTGAACCCCTTGGTTCAGGCAGTCCTCTCGTCTCGGCCTCCCAAAGTGCTGGGATTATAGGCATGAGTCACCACACCCGGCTAAGAAATGGATGTTAACAGATCTCCCAAATAAAGAATAAAAAGTATTTGGTGGCCTGAATGGCACCATTTTAAACCTAGCTATCCAGAAAAACAATGGTACCATAGGTAGCACTAACAGAAGAGGAGACGGTAAAAAGGAGAAGCACAAGAATAAAATGCTTGATGATTCCTGGAAAATACACCAAACGGGAAACCAAGAGTTCTGTACCATACATTGCATTGTCTTGGACAAGTCACCTAAGTTTCCTCATCTATAAAATTAAGAGGTTGGGTTGAATTAGATATCCGAGAGGTACATTTTGACTCTAAAATGCTGAGATTTTCAATGTTTTTCAAGTGTTAGCAATATTTTTAAAAAACTGTCCAGAAGAAATGTAAACATTCACTGTGCCATCTCAGGGGAAAGGTTAGGACTGGAGTGAAGCTTTAGCTGTCTTCTAAGCTGAAGCAATAATTCAAGCCATGAAAGAAGAAGAAACCTTTTGTGAAAGAACGTAGTCAGAGAAAAAGGCCAAACCTAGAGAAACACCCACACTTTGGCAGGGGTGGGGCCATTAAGGAAGCTAGACATTGCTGCCAGATAGTTAAGAGGAGAATGAGGATAGTGAGCTGTCATGGGATCCTAAGGAGGAGAATTTCAGTAGGCAGCATCAAGAGTGTCAGATGATACAGAGCAGGAAGGACAATGCCTTTGTAAAGGCTTCAGCTGTTGATTAGGTGGAAGTTATATTATAATACTGATTCTGGCCTCATCAGTGATTGCAAAAGGTGCAAAAAAGGTGAAAGCAGTGGAAGCTAGGCTACAAGGGGTTAAATATTGACTGGTATGAAGGAATCAGAAAGAGTAGATGACTGTCAAGAATTATGGAAAAATAAGAAAGAGGACATTTAGCCTCGAGTGTATTCAAGTAGGAGGGATCTGATATTTGCAGGAGGAATAAATGTTATGGGGAACAATTTGAAGTTACATGGTAAAGAGGGGATACATGACGAAGTAAATGTTCCAGAGGTGAAAGATAATCAAAATCACAAATGGAGAGGTTATCTTAGAAACAAGGCCATATTCACTGAGAGAAGCCTTGAGAAATGGGGGAAAGAGTATAAAACTAGCTGTGAGAGACATACTGCCAGGTGTGGTGGCTCAAACCTGTAATCCCAGCACTTTGGGAGGCCGAGGCAAGAGGATTGCCTGAGCCCAGAGGTTTGAGACCAGCCTAGGCAATTTGGCAAAACCTTGCCTCTCCAATAAATAACTAGCCAGGCATGGTGGCGCATGCCTGTAGTTCCAGCTACTTGGAAGACTGAAACAGAAGGATCGCCTGAACCCAGCAGATCTAGGCTGTGGTGGCTATGAATGTGACACTGCACTCCAGCCTGGGTGACAGAGTGAGACTCCGACTCAAAAACAAAGGAAACATGCTAAGGAGCCAAAGAACAATGACTAAGATGACAGTGGCCAGATCCTCTACAGAGGCTTAGGATGGGGACAGAAATAGTTTGGGTGGAAAGTGGGACAAATCAGAGAGAGTAATATACATGGATACAATCATGGACTTTATTTTTGCCTCCTTACACAGTGGACTAGCTATCCTTAGTCTATCTAGAGTACATCTAGATCGAGTACATCTAGATGCAGCTTTTTTTTTTTTTTTTTTTGAGTTGGAGTCTTGCTCTGTCACCCAGGCTGGAGGGCAGTGATATGCTCAAAACCACCACAGTCTTGACTTGCTGGGCTCAGGTGATGCTTCTGCTTCAGTCTTCCAAGTAGCTGGAACTAAAGGCAGGCAACATACTGGCTAATTTTTAAAAATTTATTGTAGAGATGAGGTCTCACCAAGTTGCCCAGGCTGGTCTCGGTCCCATGGGCTCAGGCAACTCTCACCTCAGCCTCCCAAACTGCTGGGATTATAGGCGTGAGCCATTGCACCCAGCCAGATGCAACTTTTTGAATAAGGACAAGGCCCAGTGTCTGAGGGGTCCCTCTCCCTCCTTAAAGCAGGCAACCACAGTGGCTGTTTTGGCTCTTGAGTCTTTCTCTGGCAGCAGAAACTTACATATGCACATACTTACAAACATCAACAGTGCCCATCAAAGCAGAGATATTCCAGAGCAGAAGAACCTGCTAGTCTGGGCTAGCTGGAAGATTACACGGGTGAGAGACACAAAGGTAAAGGTACTAGTCTCTGAGCCTGAAGGGAAAAATAAACCAAACTCAGAATGCTGTAACTTTCCCAAGGGCATTCCCTAGGAAAACAGCAGCAGAGAGTTCCTTTCCTTCTCCCATAGGACTTATATTGTCCCATCCAGACTCTAACTTGGTGGAGCTCATGTTCTCAATAATTCCTGTCCCTGTCCCTTTTCTTCTTTTCTGCAGCTTAGACCATAAAGACTGGTATTTGAGGCAAAGTCTTCGATTTCCCCCAATCAGCAAACTGTTTAGGTAAAAAACGTCTTTAATCAGAAAGGATTTATCGTCCCTCAATGCAAATACACACATTAGAAGTAAAAACATATACATACATATTTACACAAATGAGAAACCAGAGAGGACAGTCACATGCCCTGGGTTAGGGGTTAAGAAGGTGAGCATCAGGAGCAACTGGAGGATGGCTTCTCATCTGCTCTAGGTGTCCTACAGTCATCTCTCTGGCCAGGGTGGGTAAGCTGGAAGGAGACAGGGTGTGGCTCCAGTCTGATGGCAAAGTTACTGGCAAACTGTAGCAACGAGGCCCCTCTCCAGATAGTTTCATAGGATCACCAGGGATGACAGGGGATGCTGTGGTAGGTGGAACTGGAGTGCTTGGGGCAGAGTGGGTGAAGGGCTGCTGCACTCCATGCTGGAGGAAGAGGATGACACCAATGCTGGTACCAGCGCCTAAAGGACCATGGCTGAAGGAGATGGTAGCTGGGGAACTGAGAGGGGGGTTGCAAATTGGAGTGGTATGGATCCAGGTGAGGTTCATAGCTGGCCATTCTGTGAGATGCCAAGGCTGCTTTGGTTTCAAAACTAGATGTCCTAGATGTGCCTGGTCTATCTTTTCCACAGGAGGTGCAGGAGAGGCAGCAGCTGAATCACTGTGGTGGCTTGGAAAATGCTGGGGAGGAGAGAAATGAGAAAAAAAAACTGTGGAAAAAGCTTTTGGATGAGCTCTACATAGTTACTTAAACCTCTGCTTTCCTCGGGAAGTCAGTTTCAATGTAAACATACCTTGTTTTATCCAACATACATTCTTGCCAGACCATGACTAAATAAAATTTTGAGTAATCAAATTATTCTTCCATCTATTCAAAAAATAGTGAGCCGGGCTCGGTGGCTCAGCCTGTAATCCCGCGCCTTTGGGAGGCTGAGGTGAGTGGATTGCTTGAGCCCGCGGGTTCGAGACCCGCCTGGGCAGGTAAGACCTCATCTCTACAATAAATCAAAAAATTAGCTGGGCATGGTAGCGCGCGCCTGTAATTCCGGCTACTTGGAAGGCTGAGGCGGAAGGATCGCCAGAGCCCAGCAGGTCGAGGCTGCAGTGGCCGGGAGCGGCCACTGCACTCCAGTCTGGGCGACAGAGTGAGACTCCAACTCAAA